ATTGCTCTTTCAGGTTATGTAAATGGGCTTGACCCAACAATCTATATATATAAAACACAGTTGTGTTGGTGTTGAGCACTTATAACTCGAAAACGGTTGGACTGATTTTTATGATTTTAATAAATCGAAAAAATCCAAAAAAAAAAACAAAAAAAAAAACAAAAAAAAAAATATCTATTTTACTTATTTATGAAAAAAACTCACTAAGCCCGCATACGGCGCCATCTCTTATAACCGATACCAAGTTTACCGTCACATTTTCATTGCAAACCATGTGGATTTTATTGCCACACTTTGCACAAAAACAATTTGAGGAAAGCACTTTATTTTTAATTGTTCTTCACAGTAAAAATGTCCAAAAATAAATAGAATGACAAAGTTTTAATTGTGTATTTTATTTTTTTGTTGGTTCGTTCATTCCGAAAGAGCGCGAACTGGTCTCCCTGTCATTTCTTGACGCTTGACCATTGACGTTCTGTGGCTAAGTTCCGTTTCTCTTCTTAGGCATCCCTTGACAGCCGTCCGGCTGGTGTCGAGTGGCAGAGAGCCAGGTTATGAGTCCGCCACAACCATTTTGTATACGGCGCCATATATGATAGGTACCTAGAACGAAGCTCGCCGTTGTGCGATAATTTCATTGCAGATATAGTAGAACAGAATACTGCTAAGGAACTGTAGCTATTCCAAACAGAACTATTCCACTATTTCGATCAGATAAAGTGGTGCAGAAAGAGTAGATCAGATAGAATAGTGCAGATACAGTAGAACAGATGGAGTATTGCAGTGCAGATAAAATGAAACAGGTCTGCGCTGAAGATTTTTTTTTGTTTTCTTTACATTTTTTGAACATTCTTGTGCCTGAGTTTATTTATTTGGTGGTAGAATTTATAAGAATAATGCCCACAAGATGCCCAAAAAGGGATGATGTAAAATTTTAATTTTAGGTGACTTCTGATCCAGAGAGTAAAACATAATGTCATTTTGACTTTTATCTTTAAAAACATTTAATAAGTATTTAATAATTCAGAGGAGGAACGAAGTTCGCCGGGTCAGCTAGTAAATAAATAAATAATGATTTGGCTTTTGGGATATGAATTTTAAATTGCTTTGGTTTTGAGCCTCGTTGGAGCTATGAGGGTTTGAGCGGTTGAAGAAATTGATTTTTATGCCTTGGCGTATTTAACGCTGAAAATTCTGGATCATCGATAGCCTATTGAAATACTATATCAATATGCATCAAGAAGCGATAATTGGATAAACTGGTGCTGTTTTTCCTTTTGGCATATGGATAGAAGCTTTCAGAATGAGTTGGCTGAAGGCCGATAAAGAGGAAGGTGTACTTAAAGTTCATATCAGTGGCGCCCCCAAGGGGGGGGGGGGTTTGGGGAGTTAAACCAACAAAGTCTGCTTATGGGTTCTTGGAGGATGCCCATTGTGTGAAGGTGTTTTCTCAGTCTACAGTGTCCAGTTTTTAGCCTGATGTGATTCCTGTTTGGTTTGTAGGATTTCTTCAGTAAGTTTAGGTGATGGTTGTTGTATACCATTAGCTTACTGTGTCTGAGCTTCGGAAAAGTTTGCCAGTAGGTTTTGTGTTGTCTATACACCTATTGGTTTATTTTTGTTCTTACCGATGATTTTGTGGTGCCAATTGCTGATTCAAGACCAGTAAACTTCTCTTGTATGTATATATGTATGTGTGTGTGTTGGAGGTGTCAGTTGCACTGCGACCAAGGTTGATCTATTGTACCCCTCCTTCTGCTGCCAAGTTCGGGTTTCCTGCTTAAAGCAGCCCCTCTAGTCCCAGGCCCTTTAGGAATTTTAAGATATCTAGCGGTTCCAGGGCTGGAATGTCTTCCAGCTGTTGGGGTTGACCAGCAGTTCCGATCTTTTTTGGTTGTAGCTACCCAATAGATCTTTGGCCTGTCGTAGTCCTGGTTGGTCTAGCCATTGTTTGTTCCTTAGCCGGTTCTCTTCCTTTTTGAGGATTTCTTGGAGGTGCGCATTTCCGACGCCGCAAAATGGTTCTGGCCCAGTGAAGGGAGTGACCGCTCCCGTTTTTGCAAGTTCGTCTGCGCATTCATTGCCCTCGACTCCTATGTGTCCAGGAACCCATAGTAGGGTTACTTTGTTTTCCTTCCCCAGTTCATTGAGTTTCTGTGGACATTCCCATACTATCTTAGAATTGATTACCGGCGAGCTTAATGCTTTGATAGCTGTTTGGCTGTCAGACATTATTACAATATCTCGTTTTCGGTACCTTCTGTTCAGGTTGAACTGCACGCATTTTCCTATCGCATGAAGTTCGACTTGGAATATGCTTGGTGATTTGTCCATTGGCTCCGAGTATCTGGTTCGTGGCCCGAATACTCCGGCTCCTGTCCCCTCAGCAGTTTTGGAGCCGTCTGTGTACCATTTGATGGTGTCTGCCTTAAGGGACTGGATACATTCTATGTTCCATCTGTTCTTTGTACTTAGTTCGATGGAAAAGTTTTTCTCGAAACTGAATTTATCAACAATCGCGTCTTTTGGTAAGTCCATGAGGTGTGCACAGTTTGGGAGAGGGAAAGCTCTGCCAAAGTGCGTTTTCCCTTGTAGACTTATCTTCGCCAGTCTTAGATATGATTCACTGGCAACCCACTTCACTATTGTGTGAAGTGGTGTTAGGTCTAGGATGACTTCCATTGCCGCGGTTGGGCATGTTCTTATTGCTCCTGTTATGCATAGACATGCGAGTCTTTGTACCTTTCCTAGGGTTTTCCTAGCCGTTACTAGCTGGGTTCGGCTGTACCAGGCTACTGCTCCATAGGTGATGATAGGTCTCACTATCATGGTATACATCCATCGTAGGATCGATGGGTTACAACCCCACGTTTTGCCCGCAATGTTTTTACATACCATGAGTGCCGAAATTGCTTTGTTTGTTATGTTCTCTATGTGTCGGTTCCAAAGGAGTTTAGAGTCTAGAGTTATTCCTAGGAATTTAACTTCTTGTTTCCAGTGAAGCCTGCTTCCATCGAGGAGAATATTTCTCAGGTATGGGAGTTTCCTTGTTTTTGTAAATGTTGCCAGTGTGGTTTTTGATGAGTTAAGACTCAGTCCCACAGTCTGACACCATTCCTCCGTGGTTCGGACTGCTTTTTCTATAAGGTCACAGAGTGTTCCTTCGTGTTTGCCTCTAGCTATGATGACAATATCATCGGCGTAACCAAGGCAGTTGAAGCCCTGGTCTGTCTGTGTATTTAGTAGATTATCGACTACTAGACTCTACATCAAGGGTGAGAGTACCCCTCCCGAACCGTAACCAAGTCTCGCGACGTAAATTCTGAAAGACATAAATGATTAATATTTTCATTCAGGAGAATGCATGCTCTAGGGTCGTTACACCGACTGTCCCAGATTATTTTTGCCCCTTTACTTGACAGGCCTTTGATCTGCCCCTTGTGTATCCAAGGTTCTTGGATTAGTACGGCTCCCAAATGTGCCGACGTGAACAACCGCGCTATGGCAGCGGATGCTCCCTTAGCGTGATGCGCGTTCACCTGGGCTATTGTGGTGTAATTCGCCATCTTACCTGTTATTGTTGTTTCTGGTGTGGTGGAGTGATGACCTCCTAATCGCCCAGAAGCATTTTTTCTTCCTCACTGGGAACTTCCTCTGCCGGAGTGAGAGTTTTCTCCCCATCCTCAAGGCCTTCGTCCTCTTTCCCTTCGTCTTCTTCTGAAGGAGACTTCAATTTGGATTCCGAGGAGGTGGGCTCGTTCGGTTCCTCGTTTGTTCCTTCTATCCTTCTCTTGCTAGAGCATCTGCTTTTTCATTTTCTTCAATTCCTTTATGCCCTGACACCCATTTAAGGGTTACCTTGTTGGCCATCCCCAGACAAGTTTGGATTTTATTTCAAAGCTGTTCAGTGCATTGATCGACGCTTGACCGTCTGCAGATAAGGATGTTTTAACCTGTGTATCCGCTCCTCAGGTTTTCTCTCAGACAGGAGTCGATGGCATATATTTCTGCTTGGAATACAGTAGTGTATTCTCCCAGAGGTTGACATACTTGCACCGGTAATACAAAGACAAGCAAGTCTCTGGATTTTGGCTAGCTGCAGGTTTGCTTGTCTTTAGTTTACTTTAGGCCACCATACAAATGCACCATATGTTATCATTGGTCTTACAACCGTAGTGTATATCCATTGTAAAACTGACGGTTTCAGTCCCCATGTTTTCCCAACCGCTCTTTTTAGTGACACCAACGTCATCTTGCTTTTGGTGGTTATCTTTTGGATGTGTTGATTCCATGTTAGCTTCATATTTAGGATGACGCCTAAACAGTTAGCTTCCCTAAAGTCCAAGGTTTTTTGGAATAGACTGGTAGTGAATAAGTTCTCCAGATTTCTTTTTATCGTGAAAGGAATTAGTTTCGTTTTGGAGAGGTTGACGCGAAGTTAATCACTCGTGCACCATTCCTCAATGATTCCTAAGGCGTCCTGCATGAGGTTTGATACCGTCCTGGTAAATCCTCCCCTAATGACAACGACTATGTCATCCGCGTACCTAGGGTGATGTAGCCTTGATCGTTTAGTTGCCTCAAAAGTTCATTCACAACTAGATTCCACAAGAGTGGAGAAAGTACTGCGCCCTGTAGGCATCCTTTTGTTGCAGTAACTTTAATAGAGGTTTCAGCAATAGTCGAGTTTATAGTCCTGTATTTTAGCATGGACTTGATTCATCTGCATGTGGTACAATAAGTTAAAAAATTCTTCATATGGTGGCCGGCCTACGGCAGCGCCTGCCTGCGGCGAGCCTTCATCATTATGAACCCCCCCCCCCCCCCCCAATAAAAAACCTGGGTGCGCCACTGGCTCATGTTAACGATCAGACTGGTTGACAATTTATCTGGAATAGAGTGCGTTTGAACAGTAAGAAAATGAAGCTGATACTCGACAAGCGGCTGTGCTGTGATTGAACAGCCTTCATAAATAAAGCAAAATGAGCGAAATTATTGAATAAACTTTCTTTATTATTGTAAAAAAGTGGTATATATCTACAACTTTTTCTAAGTACAATTAATAATTCAAGACCTCTATTTTTTACTCTTACCGTACTTTCGGTTTTGTTGTTTACGGTTCCGTTATTTCTTGCATGGTTGTTGAATTTTCTTCGTTTTGTTGCATCATCAATTTATTAGAGTTTTCTGTGTCGTTGCTGTTGTTGTTAAATTCCGCTACTTTTGTGTCATTATCAACGGCATGCATTTCCTGTGTCCTTTTAGTTGTTGCTGTTTTTTCTTCAATCCATCTATGATCAATCATTGGCGGCATCAAATGTGTGTGTAGCGTTGGGTGTGACATTTCAGTTGTTGCTGGTTCCTCTTCTTTTATTGTATCAGGAACTACTAACATTTTTTGTGCCAATTCATCAGTTGTTTTTTTTTGGCTTCTTCTTGTTATTGTTAGCAGAGACTCCTTTGTTGTTCTTCTTGTGTACTTTTTTTTATCAGTAGTTACTTGCTTTATTCGTATTATTTCTGTTGTTGTTTTTACTTTCTTCATGTATGGATCTTCATCTTTTTTCCATCTAAAAAATATTTTAGTAGATACTTTTCATTTAGTTTTTTTCCAAATCAATAGTTTTGATGTCTCATGTGCATCCTTTTCGGGACTACAATCTTGGGAAGGAATAGTATATTTCCTAACTAGTGCGGAAAAGAGACTTTTCGCACGAGTTAGGAACACTATTTTTTCTACGAGATTAAAGTTAATATTTTTAAAGTTCGTTTCACCAGGGTTCATACTTGACCTTGAAACTTGAAAAAAAAAGGGATGTCGTAGATTAATTCAATGACACATTCAATTTTTTTGACAAATTAAAATGAATGACTTTTCTTTTAAGAACCGACGAACGTTTTTGACGTTATTGATTTGTTTCAGTCAATTTTTATTTGTTAAACAAGGAAAGTAAATGCTGGTGGCAAGTACAAACCCTGGCGAAACAGACTTTACCTACATATTTATTAATTTAAGAGATTTTTTTTTTTCACTTTTCAGTACCTGTACCTGTAGTATACCCCTGTATACCTGTAAGTACCTGTTTACCTGAAAATTTCAGGTATTCTACTTTTCCGCAGTAAGTGCGGGAAAAAAACGGAAAAGCACTACTGCGGAAAAGTGGTGCTTTCATTACCTAAAATAAGTGCGGAAAAGTACACTTTTCCGCACGCTCGTAGAAAAAATAACAAAAATAAGTTTACATTTATTCAGGGTCTGGAAAAGTATAGGTTTGTCCGATTTTTTGGATTTTTTTTTTTGTAATCAAGTTTATGTAAACACTATCAGCTGTATGCAACATCCTCTTTTAACTTGAAAGCGCTTTTTAAAGCTAGTCTCTTTTAAAACTATGTATTCTGAACCATATAAATTTTTAAAGGTACCTACCAGTTTTAAAAAGCGCTTTTAAGTTAAAAGAGGATGTTGGATACAGCTGTTAGAATTTAGTAGTTTTTTACATTACAAGTTTATGGACATGATTACAATAACGAGTGTGACAGATTAGAACGACGAGGTCGTAGACCAAGTCGTTCTAATCACACGAGTTTAGTAGTCATATTAAACGCACGTGTGATCCAACACGTTTTATCTACACAGCACACAGCGAAAAATAAGAATGTTTTTTCAATTATTTTCGTTTGTTAGCCAAAAATCAAATATCAATAACCAAAAATCGTTGTGTTATTGATTCATAACCTAGTTTATAACACCCCTAGTTGTGTTATGAGTCTCATGACATAACTCAAATACTAGAAAAATGGAAAGGTAAAAACGTCATAACCAAACGCCTGTAGATAAACTTATTTACCTTCGCTGGCAACGAGAACATGTCAAGCAAAAATGTCAAAACACTTAATGACACATTTTGACATCTTTGTTTTATTTTTTTATTATTTAAAAATGAAATAACTATTTTTTAGTTAATGGTGTGCATAGAACGCATATCCTCACGGATAGAAGACAAACTGCCTAATAAAATTTTGAGGAACAATACGCCGTCACGGCGGCGCGGCGCGATGGATGCGATCTGAACTATTTATAATAAAGGTTTTTGTAATCAAATCAGCTTTCAAAATAGTTCTCCTAATGTCAATATTTTCGATATTAGGTTTATTCGGACTTCAGTTCAGAATTGAACCACGCTTGCGCATTCGTTTATATATGTTCGATATGACCAAATGCGCAAGCGCAGTTCAATTCAGAACTGATTGTGAACTGAAGTCCGAATAAACCTATTATTATTTCCTCATTATTGCCGAATTCCATTCGACGGCTTTTCTTCCGAGTAGAGCAAAAACTGCCAAACTTCTTGTCTTTTGTGTAAAATCTGATTTTTTTTTTTAAATTTAACACGTTGACGGACAGTGGAAATTTCGTAAAGAGATTCGTGTAGAGAGAAGCACTACTGCTATAGAAGTTCTTTTCCCCCGCGTAGATTTTTTGAACGCGGTGGGACAGCGTACTGCTACAGCAGCAGTAGCAGTACTGCTATAGCAGTAAACAAACGAAACAAAAACTGAAAACTTTTTTATTTGCATATAATTACAAAGTGAATAAAGTACTTAGAACAAATGAAGCTCCAAAATATCCTACTAAACATTCAGTGGCGTCGCGTGACAAGCAGTCTGGGAGGGGGTAATTGGTACCGGGGGTTGAGGGGGCGACTCTGGCAAAAATTTTTTGCAAATTTCAAGGTCATTCACTTTTCCAGAACAATTTTTTCCTTTGTGGGAAAAATAAAACAAAAAATAGTTATTATCCTAACAAGTGCAGAAAGTTATACTTTCCCGCACGCGACTGTCGCTGACCCGAACGACGCGTAGCGGAGTTCGGGCAAGCAGTCAAGGGCGGGAAAGATACTTTATGCATGAGTTAGGATCAAATTTTTTTTCTACGACCGTAGCAAAATAGAGGACAAAGAAAATATGCGGTTTTTCTTTAAACATATATTGCACACATTTAGCCCGGTATTCATAGTGCCTACTTGAGTGCTGAGGATTCCTTAAAGGTTTCCTTGGCAGTAAATTGTCTTTCAGAGTCAAAATTGTCAAGGCTTCCTTATCGCAGCTCATGCTTATTTTGTCACATTTCCTTCCTTGACTTGAGGAATGTCCAGAGGTCCCTTGAGGCTGGTTTTCTAACCTATTGGTGACAGTACGTGAACCTTATTGATACGTATTGTACGTGAACTGTATTTTATCGATGTAATTGGTATGGATGAGCTGGATTTTTTTTTGTAGAGATAAATGCTGCTGATGCTTGATTCAGCTAGTGCAGGCACCGTGGTGGAATGGTAGAAACAGCAGTATTGAATTAAACAGGCATTAGCATGCATTAGTTAGTCGATAAATCACCGCATCCGTGGCATTGCTGAATTTAGCCACACGAGGGTTGTGCTGCGGAGGCCAAGAAGGTTTATTCGAGACATGCAGAATCCATTAGAATTCTAAATTAAAGAAGTAGTCCATCTTTCAAAGTAAAGTTGAAATTTGATTTCAAAAGAATACACAAAGTCCTCCTCCACAAATTACTTTGATCAATTTAAAGCGCCCTACATGTTTCGGGGCTAGAAGACCTCTTCATCAGGGGGTCAGGGGCTATCGCTCACGTATTACAAAGTATTTTAGGTCGCTAGACTCCGCATTTGGCAGAGGAAAAGGAACAGAAAGTTGAAACATTGAAAAGTTAAGACATTAAAAAAGACAAATGTAAAAAAAATCAAAAAATTAATAGATTAATTGTATATATAATTTTATTTTTTCTTTAATTTTTAAAAATAATTGACTTCACTACGTAATATTTTGTCAATTATTATTTTTATATCGCGAAACAACTCCATGGTTGTGGGTTATCTACAAAATGGTTAAGGAACTACAAATTTTATCCCCAGGCAGCCTGTTTTTCCTCCAATAATACGGCGTCTATTTCTTTATTTTCCACTATGACACTGTGCTGAGCTACCATCTGGACCAGGAACATTTTCTCTCGGTGTACTTGGTCGCCATAATTACTTGTGCATGAATTTCACAAAAAAATCACTATTTCTACAGCTATAGCTTGTTAATATATGATTCTATGCGAAAAAGTATTGAACCATATATCAACAATGACAACCTAATGACAATAACAATAGACATTTCGTAGAGAGCGGTGTTGTCAGCTGCAAAACTTAAGACGAGGCTTCCTTCAATAAGAATTCTTTAATTCGCAACTATGAAACGCCAAAGTCACAAACCACAAAGGAGTCCTTATTCAAGGCGACCTTCAAGTCGCAAGGGGTCCTTAATTTGAGGTGTGACTGAGAATACGGGCCTTAAATAATCCACATTTATTCATTATCATAGATATTGATTGTGAAAGAGCAATTCGATGCATTTGGTAAATTAATTGCCAATAACAATAGGGTACTTGCATGGAAAATTAAATTGATTATTGTTTATTGCAAACTGTAGGAAAACGAAAAAAGAAACGATACTTTTTTTTAATTTCGCCCAAATATGATTATTCCGGAATTTATTAAAATATCAAGTTTTGTTTAAACAGGGTGTCCAAAATACCATGGGCCACCATTGGTAGGTATATCAGAAACGGTAAGAGATACAAGGGCAGTTAAATTAGAAAAAAGTTGCTATTATCAAAGGGTATTTAAAATATATTTTCGTTAATGCCAAATTTTTATTTGTTTCCGAGATACAGGGTGATTTGTAAAAAACACCTAGAACTGTTTTTTTTTACAAATCATCCTGGATCTCGGAAGCTAATAGAAATTTGGCAACAACGAAAATATATTTTAAATACCCTTTGAAAATAGCAACTTTGTTCTAATTTAACCGCCCTCGTATCTCTTACCCTTTCTGATATACCAGTGATGGCCCATGGTATTTTGGACACCCTGTATAGATACATATACTGTCATATAACGTCACTAATTTATTAGATAAGTGACGTCATAGGCAGATTTCATAGTGTTGTATCTCCGTCAATTTTTTACTAAGATGAAAAAGAAAAAAACACTTGTTAACTTATTTTTCATGGACTATCGAAATCAGCAATAAAAAAATTTGATGCAAGGAGCCTATTATGTAGGTAGGTACTGATTCTTCAATAAACTGGTAATAATACTACTGCTGGGATGAGTGTTCGACGCCATTGCCAAGTCATCGGTTACAGTCACTGGAGACTAGGTTTCTGATCTCAGCTCTGGTGTCTTCTGCAATTTACGAAGCACTTCTTGACGATGAATATTTTGCGTCAATTGTCAGAATGCTGATATGTATAAAGTTGTAATGGGGATTGGGATTATCTTCTACGTTCCGGGTGACAACGAAATCGTTATACAAGGTGTCATTCAGTTATCTTTAAAGTTAAAAATTTGAAAACTGAGTGGAACAGGTAAGTCATTGAGACGCATATTTTTCGTAAAAAAACAATTGAATATCACTTTCGGTTACTCCGGAAAGGAACCAAGGTCAAGAAATTTTTATGGAACCCCTTATATTTTTTTGCATAGTTGGATAGAGCTTGAAATTC